TAGAAGAATGTTCCTTGCTTCAGTAGCCTTTGTTTCCCTCCCTGCTTGATCACTTTGTTTACTGCTTAACTTGCTTTTAAGCAGAGCACACCTTCTCTTCTTCAGGGACCTGTTTGCCAACCTCAGTTTGGAACATGTTTTAGAATATCACAGTTGAACCTTAACTTCACATAAAAATGCATGTAGCAACACTGTATCAGTAAAACAATGACCAGCAACTTATGAGTCTTCAGATTCTACATACACTTTGTACAAAAATTATCATAGTATGTGGAGGGTGCACGATGGCATACATTCGGTCACACTTCAACTGGACAAAGGCCACCAAGACATTTAATTTTACATCAGATCACTAGCCAACAGATAATTGCTTTCTGGCAATATCTGTCTGGGCAAGATTTAAACCAGTGCCCTAGAGCCGAGCAGTTTTGTATCCAATTACCAGCCACCTCAGCCAACCAGTCCTCATTATGGTCTGTAGTAGTGCACTCTTTTCAGATGCTGAACTGAGATTTGTGCCGTTGAAAGCTGGTTAGAATTCAGTGATAAGTGATTCAATTACATGCTGCTTCTAAAAAGTTAGTGAAGTACCGCTTGTTAGGGCCAGTTTATTCATGCCGATCTGAGGAAGTGGGTCTGGCCCACGAAAGCTCATCATCTAATAAACCATCTTGTTAGTCTTTAAAGTGCTACATTGTCCTGCATTTTGCTTCAGCTACCCCAGACTAACACGGCTACATCTCTATCACTATAAGACAAGCATTGCATTCATGCCAACCCTTTGTATAGCTGTAGGAAGGAGATTCCCACTACCACAGAGAAATGTTTGATCTAGAGAGGTATGATGGGACATCCGCGGGGGCCTCAACTCATTCACAGGCATCTTTATAGCTTGTTGACTGCTGTCTGCTTTTTAGAAAAAAGGTTCATTAGCCAATAAGACCCTCTTTCACAGTCTCAGTAGAACAATATGCATTTGTCACCAGTTTCACACAGCACACATGTAACATACAACATCTAGCCTGGCTGGTGTGATCCAAATCTGTTATTGACCGCAATTGCTTTTGAAAGATAAATGAATGTTGTCACTGGTGACACATGGGACTGAGAGTCCACATGCCCCTGCCAATTTTGCAGGTGGGAGGGGCAAAGGGCCAGAGCTTATGGGTGGCCTGGGTGACTAGCGAAGAGGCCTGGTGCCTGCAGCTAGTGTCAGGCCTTCCCATGCTCACTGGCAGCAGGAAGTGGAGCACTGGGGCTTTGCTCCTCAGCTGCCGGTGCATTACTCGCAGGAGAGACGCTCTTTACATCAACATTCCATATGAAGATGGATTACAGGTCATCAGGAACACTACCCCGATGACAGCACTGCACGCCTGGCTACAGAGCTCTGAGACTTTATCCTCACCCACAACTAATTCCGATTCGGAGACAATCTGTATCTTCGAGTCAGCGGCACAGCCATGGGCACCCACACGGCACCATAATATTCCAATATCTTTATGGCATCTTTATGGGTCATCTGGTACTAGCCACTGTTGGCAGACAGAATACTGGGCTAGATGGCCTTTGGTCTTACCCAGTATGGCTGGTCTTATGTACACTTACCTTCATGCCTCTAGCTTCCATCCCAGACATATTTCTCAATCTACTGTATACAAACAAGCCCTAAGATACAACCGGATTTGCTCCAATCCCACAGACAGAGACATACACCTACAGGATCTATATAGAGCATTCATAAAACTAAAATACCCACCCAGAGAAGAGAAGGGGAAAAAAAAAAAAACAGATCCATCGAGCCAAAAAAAGTACCCAGACATAAACTACTTCAAGACAGGCGTAAAAAAGAAAACAAGGGAATTCCACTTGTCATCACCTACAGTCCACAACTTAAACCCCTCCACCGCATTATCAACAATCTATAACCTATCCTGGAAAGTAACCCCTCAGTCTCACAGGTCTTGGGGGAAAGGCCAATCCTCGCTTACAGATCTATGCCCTACTGACATGTATATTGGCCAAACTGGATAGTCTCTACAGGAAAGAATTAATGGACACATCAGATATCCAAAAAGGTAATACACAGAAACCTGTTAGAGAACACTTTACTCTACCTGGACAGTCAATAACGGATCTCCAAGTCATTGTTTTGTCTCAGGCCAATTCCACAAGCCAAATACACAGAGAAGGACTAGAACTTAACTTCATTTACAAGTTTAATTCTTATGCAAATGGTATGAACAAGGACATCAGCTGGCTCACATGCTACCTTCCACATCCTATGACTTAACCAAACAAAGGAGGTGCCAATTGTTCTTATCAGCCTCTTGTAACTATCTACTCACTGTCTCTCTCTTTTCATTTTTTTCCTCCTCCCCCCTCCCCTTATTTATTCATGGATCTGGACTTCTAATAGTCCTGTGATCTGAAGAAGTGGGTTGCACCCACGAAAGTTCATGATACCATCCACAGGTTTTGTTAGTCTTTAAGGTGCTACTAGTCTATTTGTTGTTGTTTAAACTTTTCCAGTGTACCACATGCATCAGAATCATGACATAATAGATCAGAATACCACCACGTGAAGAATATGGGGTGCAATGTCACAGCAAGGATGTGATATCGAAGAGCTGGCTGACTGAAGAGAGAGCAAGTCAGACACACAGCAGCCATTACCAATGGAATTCCCTGCCATGGAATTCTGCAGGGTAGATGAAAAGCCTGGAGAATCTCTGATAGAAATGTAGCCGTGTTAGTCTGGGGTAGTTGAAGCAAAATGCAGGACAATGTAGCACTTTAAAGACTAACAAGATGGTTTATTAGATGATGAGCTTTCGTGGGCCAGACCCACTTCCTCAGATCAAATAGTGGAAGAAAGTAGTCACAACCATATATACCAAAGGATACAATTAAAAAAAAGAACAAATGAACCCTCTGCCGCTTTGCAGGGAGGTGGGGGAAGCCTTGCACAGCTGCTGGCAATGGGCTGGCTGGGGAAATCTTGTTATTCCGGGGACAGTCGTGTAATTCAAAAAAACGTTCCCTAAAAAAAAAATCGTGCTATCGCGAAAACGTGTTAAGCGGGCATGTGTTAAAGGAGGAATTACTGTATTTCAGAAAAACAAGCTTTAACAAAGATTAAAACAAGCACTTCTTTTCATGAATATAAAGAGACAGAAGGTTCTTTCAATTGGATGAACTACTTATTTTAATTAATAACATTCCCCAATATTTTTTCCACTCAAACATTGGGCATCCTGCTAATAAATGAATCAGAAAATGAAACAGACTGATGCAGACCAACTTGTACTGTCCAAGCTGTGAAATAAAGGAAGTAAGTGAAATACACAAATAGTACAAACTATTTTTGTAATGGGTGAGATAGTTCAAATGTTTGTTAAGTCCTTGTTGGAAAGTGTCGAATTTTAACATGAATGACAGTTCAGAGGATTCCCTTTCAAGTGCAGATGTAAAAGGTCTTTGTAGTAGAATCTCTCATATTCTATCCTCATCTCTCTCCCCTCCCCCCCCCAGAAAATCAGGAATTGAGTAATTTCCATAGAGCCTTACTGGTTTCATCCCTATTAACATGTACCGATAGTATTATGGTAGTGTTCAAAGGCTCTATGCAAGTGCCTAGCCTGAAAGACTTAGCATTCCCTAACCAGATTCTTCAGCCATCAACAGCGGACCCATTTACAGTAAACAGACTAAAGTTTATTCATGTGGGTTCCTTGACCCTGCAGACAGGAAGCACCATCTGGTATGATTTTACTGTGCACTGCAGTTAAGATCTAGAGTATATTTTCCTTCTGTTCCCAACAGTCAGAGGTAGCAGTCCTTTGCCAGCTCTGTCTGGCTACCATCTATTGGGAGTTTCCCTTCTTATTGGGTTTGAACTGTGCCACACACTAAGCTGTCCGAACAGTGTTTTGCTTGCAAGGTAAGCAGGAGAATGAGGTTTCCATGTAAACAGGGTAAGGCAGAGTTCACTAAAAGGGAGACAAACATCTGGCTCTTATTTTGTAATGAAGGCACTTTGAGGGAGCTGAACACACCAATATTACCCATGGGAACGTTTTTTGGAAGGTCTGTGCAATTAAGTTTTCATACCAGATTTATTTCAAGGGAGTGTGCTCCTGGAATTTGCTTCCTCCCTTGGAATACACAAATGAATCCCTGAGAGAGATTTGGCTTGAGGGTATAACTGTCCATTACTGAGATATTTTGAGGCAATCCTCAGGTTGTGATCCACCAATTAAGGCTGTATCCTTTAATTAAAGGAGCTAGATGGCAAAGGAAGTGAGTTTCCCGTAAGTTTTGCCAGTCCAGGGATAGGACAACCATAAACATTTGCATTATCCCTTTCTTTAAGACAATTTCAGAGCATAAGCTAGTTCTCAAGAAACATCCCACAAGTAATTCTGTCGAAAAACTTCTCTTGATTCAAAGATGCTTTTGATATTTCCCATGCAGGTTCTGGGGCTGGATTACTGGGGCCCAGAACCTGCATGGGGCATATCAAAAGTGTCTTTGAATCAAGAGATACTGCTCCTGCTTTCTCCAGAGCAGGCAGGTTAAATCTAGGGACGGGAGGGGAGGCCCAATGCAGCTCCCCTAGAACTCATTCCAGCAGGCTGAGGTTGGGATGGGGCAGCACAGGGCTCTTCTGGCAAGGTCAGGGTGAGGCACTTGGGGCTTCTCCAGCTTGGGGAGGATGTGCAAGATGCCCACTGATTTCTGCCCTGGGGCCCAGAAGTGCTGTTGGAGGGCCTGAACACAGCTGATCCCTTGGGTCACGGGGTAGGTATGAACATAGAATAGTTATGCTCAAGCCTGCACTGCCTCCTTTGTTGCAAGGTACAATTAAGCCAGTGCTTCCCAAATGGTGTTCCACGGAACCCCGGGTTCCACAAAGTGAAAATAAGGGTTCTGCGAGAAAATTCCATTACAATAACATTGTATGATTTAAAAAAATAATTGTAAGTACTGAAGCATTTATGAATTTTATTGAAAACAATTTTCATTTGTTTGCCACAATAAGTGTCCCTGTGTAATGTCAGGTTAGCCAGAAAGTGGGGATGATGAGGTCACTACTCAGTGCTGCACGCGAAGTCAGTCAGTGATGTGATCGCCTGTTATATTCCACCGTAAATCCCCGTACTCACTCTCAGGGAGCGTGGATCACGTGGGTGACTGAATACAAATACACTAGCGCCACGTCGAACGAGTTAATGCAGGTCACATACCTCCTGGTCCCATTCTCTAAAGCAACAGACTATGCTGCTTGTCATCGGGGCATCTGTTCAGGTGAATTACTCTCCTCTGTGGGTCATCTCTTCACCACGAGGAGTCCTTGTCATCTGCTTAGGAGCGGATGCCTGCTCAGCCCTGTCACACAGAACACTACATGCTACTGGGGAAGCAGGTTCTTCAGCTGCTACAAAACACACTTTTTAACCTAGACTGTTCTCCCTCCCCACACACGCTTATGTGGTGCTAAGCTTCTGTCTGTCTTTTAACCTTCCTGTTCTCCCTCCTTTTCTTTGTGTGAGTTCTTGAACTACACCTTTAACAGAACATTAAATGGTCTCTGGTTCAACCATGCTGCTTATTACCCAATGGCTCTGCAGTCCTTTCCTCACCCCTTCACTGCCTTATCCAGTTTTTTGCAACTTACCTCTAGAGTCACAAGACAAGTATCGCTGCCAAATGGGTGTTATTCACTTAAACTTGCCTTCTGCATTTAAAAACAATCCTTGCATAATCTTGGGTTATTTGGAAGAGGGGATCAATGAATAAACTAACACATTTTTGGTCTTCCCAGAAAATGTTTATATGAATAAGCCATGAAGCATACAAAAGGTTAGACCCCTGGAAAGACTTCCAACACTGATAAAAAGAAAGAAAATAACTCAGGAAGCTTAGATCTAAACATGTTTCCAGTGGCTTTCTTTAAAACTGATTTGCTGGAGAAGCACTATGGAGTTACATTCACTAGTTTCAAACCAAGTTACAGAAAGCACCACCTTAAAGATCTGAGGTTCTGTAAATGTGCTTCACTCACCTCACACGAGCACCGACTGGCCAAGTGCATCTTCCTGTGCACTCTCTAGCTGTGTGTGGTGGGTCTTCTCTCACTCAGCCCCCTGGAAAAGTCATACACAGCCTGTTTATGAGAGAAAAGCAATGCAAACCCCTTTGGGAGTACAAGTACAATGGGCCTCCCTGTGCCCTCTGTAATGCGTCTGCTTGTCCCTGCTCTGGAATACAGTGGTGTCCCAAGATTCCTTCCTTGGAGGACATGTCTTCATCCTCTCAGGGCTTTTCTGGCACCAGCTTTTCAGTCAGGCCACAACAGTTTAGTCCACTTCTGGAGTGCCTCAAAGTCAAGGCCACTTCCCAAGTGGATGTGAGTGTGGGGGAGGAGAATTCAGGCCTACCCTTGATTGTGAGTCCCAGCCCAGGGACATTATAGATAGCTGCAATGCCATTTATTAAAGGGATAATGCAGAAGGCTGCTATAAGTCCCTGAGCCACTTTCCCATGGCTTCCTTATATTCTTCCCCCTTACCTCAGGGACTTGTCCTTGTGGCATTCCAGTAGCCAGCCTGGAACACCATCCACGCTCCTTCAATTCTAGCAAGGAACTGTCTTCACTCATGCCTTGCAGCTCATCTTATACTAGCCTGCTGGGCTCTGATTGGCTGCGTCCCACACGGCAGCTTAGGCCACCTCTCTACTGCACTTTTGGAGGCTAGGTGTAGCAGGACGCCTTAGGACCTACTCAATCCTGTCACCAACTGTCTTTTAAAAGAGATGAGAGTAGCATGGCTTAGAGGTTCTAGATAGCCAGGTTTGTCAGTCTCTCCACAGAAACAGTATTTAATAAAGAGGAGCAAGTAATGCAACTCTCTGAAGGTCAGGTATTTATACAGATCTTCCCTCTCCCAAAAATCACTGTAGAATCCAAGCATCTCAGTCATTAATGCATTCATCCTCACAATACTCCAGTGAAGTAAGGCCATAATATGACACCCCTGATGTTATAGGTGGGGAAACTGAGGCACAGATTCAGAACAATGTCTTCAAAAAGGTATTTAGACTCCTAATTTCTTTTTAAATTAAGGAGATTTAGGCACCTAAAATAACCTTTGAGGGTCTGAGTGGCCTGCCCACGGTTACAGAGGAAACTAGTGGAGGACAATTAGGATTCAACAAATGAAATTATTAAGCACAGGTATGAAACAAACAAAAGGAAGTATTTCTTTACACAACACATAGTCAACTGGTCAAACTCCTTGCTAGGGGATGTTGTGAAGGCCAACACTATAACAGGGTTCAAAGAAAAGCTAGATAGAGTCATGGAGGTTAGGTCCATCAAAGGCTATCAGCCAGGATGGGTAGGTATGGTGTCCCAAGCCTCTATTTGTCAGAGGTTGGGAATGGGCAACGAGGGGAGGAATCAATTGATGGTTACCTGTTCTGTTCATTCCCTCTGGGGCACCTGTCCTTGGCCACTGTTGGGAGACAGGATACTGGGCTAGAAGGATATTTGGTCTGCAACGCCTCTTGGCTAGTGGAGTACCCCTGCGCTGGGCCTTTGCCCAGGATCTCCCTGCTCTCTGCACCAGCCCCAGCTCCATGCTCTGCCACATTGCCTCCAGCTTCTGGGCTGCTTCTCTGACCCCTGCAGCCCTGCTCCCAGCATGGCTCTGCTGCTGGGCTGTGTCTCTGGGTGCCATGAATCCTCCCAGTTCAGCTCAGGCAAATGTCTCCTTAGTTCAGACCCACTCTGTCTGACCCAAGAAATTAAGCTGTGACAGAGGACGGGACTCACCCGAGCCTCCTCACTCCCTCCTTGGCCTGGCAGTCAGGCTGACATGTAGACTGGACTCTCTCTTTGCTCCTGGGGCTCAGTTTCATGGTTCTGATTTCTCAAAAACCCTTCCCCTTCATTTGAGACTGGGCGCTTACCAAGCAAAATACTCACTGGGTGTGAGTAAGGGGCCAACAGTCCCCTTACATATGAAAATACAAACAATAAGAATTGAGGTAAACAAGGTATTATGCATGTGCCTATCTACATCGCATTTCAGAGTACATAGCAGTTAAATTACTATGAATTCACGTTAAGAGATAATACAGGATGAAGGTCACAATTGTTGAAAGCTAATTGTTAATGAAAGAGGAAAATAAAATTGCCTCTCTCAGCAGCGATCAGTAAATCCAATCATGCCTGTAACGCATGTGATTTAGGAACATGGGAAACGTGGGCTGCAAACAGTGAATGCTGTCTGATAGGATGTAACCTTCTCGTGACTGCGTGTATACACCCCGCCACCCCGCGGAGACTTTCTTATCACGAGCTGAGTGTCAGAGCAGAGCTCTTTAACTGCCCCCCCATCCCTCCCCCTCTCCTTTCCTACCCCCTCCCTTGTCCCCTATTTATTTTGGGTCTGCACATCCTAAACTCAAAACTCCGGTCATCTGAAGAAGTGGGATGTGCCCACGAAAGCTCATGATACCATCTAGATGTTTTGTTAGTCTATAAAGTGCTATGAAACCATTTGTTGTTTTTTAAGTTTATCCTGTACAAACTAACTTGGCTACGCCCAAAAGCTTAGAAAAGATAGACATACACAAATCCATGGGTCCGGATTTAATGCATCCAAGGGTACTGAGGGAGTTAACAAATATCATTGCAGAGCCTTTGGCCATTATATATGAAAACTCATGGAGATCAGGAGAGATCCCGGATGATTGGAAAAAGGCAAATGTAGTACCCATCTTTAAAAAAGGGAAGAAGAACAATCCAGGGAACTACAGACCAGTCAGCCTTACCTGATTAGCTTCTATGATGAGGTATCTGGCTCTGTGGATAGGGGAAAGTTGGTGGATATGATATGTATTCTTGCTAGCAAGTTAAGGACGTATGGATTGGATAAATGGACTGTAAAATGCATGGAAAGCTGGCTAGACTATTGGGCCCAACGGATAGTGATTAACGGCTCGATGTCAGGTTGGTAGATGTTTCTGCTAGAAACTGACCTCAGCATGTTTGTGGATGACACTAAGCTAGAGGAAGAGATAGATACACTGGAGGGCAGAGATAGGGTCCATAGTGACCTAGACAAATTAGAGGATTAGGCCAAAAGAAATCTGATGAGGTTCAACAAGGACAAGTGTAGAGTCCTTAACTTGGGATGGAAGAATCCCAAGCATTGTTATAGGCTGGGGACCAAATGGCTAAGTAGCAGCTCTGCAGAAAAGGACAGTGTGCCCTTGTAGCCAAGAAGGCTAATGGCATATTAGGGTGCATTAGGAGAAGCATTGCCAGCAGTTCCAGAGATGTGATTATCCCCCTTTATTCGGCTCTGGTGAGGCCACACCTGGAGTATTGTGTCCAGTTTTGAGCCCCTCAATATAGAAAGGATGTGGACACATTGGAGAGGGCCCAGGGGAGGGCAACCAAAATGATTAGGAGGCTGGAGCACATGACCTACGAGGAGAGACTGAGGGATTTGGGCTTATTTAGTCTTCAGAAGAGAAGAGTGTCCCCCTCCGCCTCTGCCCCCTCCTGGTTGGTTAATAGGCGAGGAGGCGAGCGGGCCTCACATTCCATCCAATGAGAAGGCAAGGGTGGTGACAGGCGTCTGGCTCAGCCTATTAGCACTAGCGTGAAAAATTTCGCCCCTTTCTTTGCAAAATGGCGGCGGTGTCTCCATCCCCGGCCCCGGCCCAGGATCCGGACCCGGTGGCGGTAGCAGCAGCTC